GCTGACGAGGGGCCTCACCACCTCATACACCTAAGAAGAGAAGGCATGTCACTGCTTTTCCAGCTCACAGATCTTGGCAATTTTCATTTGCTAAAGGAATAATCAAGATTTTTTTTTTTTTTTTAAGGTTACCCTCTCCCCTGGGAATGCCATGTCTGGATTGGAGATAGCAGCAATTTTTGCCAGAGCGTGAGAAGCCTTTATCTTGCCAACTTCTGTGCCTTCCACAGCCAGAGGTATCAGGGCCTAGTGACACACAGGAAAGCATTCAATGTCTCTGAGAAGATTTACAAGATTGCCTTAATATGCTAAGTGAAAAATATCCTAAAGATGTGTTTGTTGAAGAAATGGGTCTGGACTGTAGCCCACAGCGGTGTCTTGCTTGTGTTCTCAAATAGGCACCAACACCAGAGCTTGTAGCTCACACAGTTGTTTCAAGAAGATTGCTTCTTTGGAGGCTTACAGAGATAGGACTAGAGTGTCAGCCTGGGCCCCAGGGGCTACCAAGACATCTCATGCTTTTCTGCCACATTCCCTCACTGTAGACACGTTGCAGGCTCCCAACAGACATTAACTGCACGTCAGGTTGAGCTGCAAACATGAAAGTAATCACCTTTCCACCGCCTTGAGCGACAATGGTCCCGCGGTCCTTGGGGTCTTCACACAAGGCAAGAAACACCCTGCAGAAGCACAGCATCACTTAGTGAAACAGCCACGCAGGAAGGCAATAACCCATGTCCCTTGTGGAAGGGGGCTAAGGTTTTGCAGGGGTGCCAGATCCACCAGGTAAATTCCAGATGTTTAACCCAGTGCCCACAGCGCTCTAGGACGAAGCAACAAATGGCACAGTAAAAAGTTTCAAGGCCTGCAAGATGAACTCTATTCCAGCCAAAACCAGTACAGAGGACTAGAAGTTCAAAATGCATCCTAGCAAGCCAGCCCTGTAAGCTGGCTTCAAGGTCAGAACGTGGATTTTTATGACATTGCTTAAGAAAAACTTTGGGTTTAAATCTTTTCTCCACCTCCCTTTCATCTCGCCCCCGTAGGCAGAATGTACCACCCCACAAAGCAAGGAGCCAGCCCAGGCACCCATCTCAGTGGCACACAGGCTGGCCAGCACTCCCAGCTCCCACGACAGCGATGAAGGCACCTGGCGATGAGCTCCTTGCTCTGGTCCGTCAGTATGGCACTGTCCGCCTTCACCATGCAGGCCAAGGCAGAGACGACGCCGGCTTTCAGCAACCGCTTTACCCGCTTCACCACAAAATCCTTCTTGTCCTGGGGGGGGACATTGGAAAGGGATTAGCCCCTTAGCAGTCGCCATCCTGCTGACTACGGCCAAGCCTGGTTGGAGAGCAAAGCAATTTCAGCCTCAGAGACAGGCGACCTGAGGTCTGTGACAATGGATACACCAAAGAAAGTCTTCAGATCCAAGCATCTCCTCACAGCTCCCCAGCTGTAGACAACCTACCTTTGGATGCTCCTCAGGCACGTGCTGCTTGGAGAATTTTGCCAGTTGCACCAGCTCTGGGACCAGCTCCTTGGTATCATAGCTGTTGGTACAGTTCACCAGCGCAGAAGCCACAGAATACAGGATAGTCTTGTCGCTTGTCTGCACAGAAAAATAAAAGCTTATGTGAGGGTGAGGAGGACACGGCAAGGAAACAGGTCCCTTAAGGACTGCCACCATGGTGGTTTGCACTAGCTGAAGTGTTCTTAGGCTCATCCCCAGCTTTATAGCCTAGGGCAGGGAAAACCAAAAGTTTTTATGGTCAAACAGGCTTTTTGAGATCAGACGCTGTCAACACCTTGATGCCTTTGATTTTCATGCAGTTGTGACAGCAAAGGTAAGAGCAACCTTCCTCAGCCCTGGGAGAAG